TAGTCGCCTTACACATTCTGTCACCGTTCACCTAGCAGTAAGTAGGTACCTGGGTGTTAGTCTACTAACACTTGTGATGTCACTGTTCACCTAGCAGTACGTAAGTACCTAGGTGTTAGTCTACTAACACCTGTAGTCACTATTCACCTAGCTGTACGTAGGTACCTAGGTATTATTGTAACTACACTTGCTGTCGCTATTCACCTAGCAGTAAGTAGGTACCTGGGCATTAGTCTCCTTACATCTGCTGTCACTGTAGATACCTGAGTGTTAGTTACCTTAACACTCAGATGTTAGACACATGTCTAACACCTGGGTGTCTTTACTGGTAAGAAACACATATCTAGCAATCTTGTATGCTCTAGTATTTCGTGACTGGAATGATAGGATGGTGGTAGCACAGTTAGGATGATGGTAGCACAGTTAGGATGGTGGTAGCACAGTTAGGATGGTGGAAGCACAGTTAGGATGGTGGTAGCACAGTTAGGTTGGTGGTAGCACAGTTAGGATGGTGGTAGCACAGTTAGGATGGTGGTAGCACAGTTAGGATGGTGGTAGCACAGTTAGGATGGTGGTAGCACAGTTAGGATGGTGGTAGCGCAGTTAGAATGATGGTAGCACAGTTAGGATGGTGGTAGCACAGTTAGGATGGTGGTAGCACAGTTATGATGGTGGTAGCACAGTTGGAATGGTGGAAGCACAGTTAGGATGGTGGTAGCACAGTTAGGATGGTGGTAGCACAGTTAGGATGGTGGTAGCACAGTTAGGTTGGTGGTAGCACAGTTAGGATGGTGGTAGCACAGTTGGGATAGTGGCAGCACAGTTGAGATGGTGGTAGCACAGTTAGGATGGTGGTAGCACAGTTAGGATGATGGTAGCACAGTTAGGACGGTGGTAGCACAGTTAGGATGGTGGTAGCACAGTTAGGTTGGTGGTAGCACAGTTAGGACGGTGGTAGCACAGTTAGGACGGTGGTAGCACAGTTAGGATTGTTGTAGCACAGTTAGGATGGTGGTAGCACAATTAGGTTGGTGGTAGCACAGTTAGGATGGTGGTAGCACAGTTAGGATGGTGGTAGCACAGTTAGGATGGTGGTAGCACAGTTAGGATGGTGGTAGCGCAGTTAGAATGATGGTAGCACAGTTAGGATGGTGGTAGCACAGTTAGGATGGTGGTAGCACAGTTATGATGGTGGTAGCACAGTTGGAATGGTGGAAGCACAGTTAGGATGGTGGAAGCAGAGTTAGGATGGTGGTAGCACAGTTAGGATGGTGGTAGCACAGTTAGGATGGTGGTAGCACAGTTAGGTTGGTGGTAGCACAGTTAGGTTGGTGGTAGCACAGTTAGGATGGTGGTAGCACAGTTGGGATAGTGGCAGCACAGTTGAGATGGTGGTAGCACAGTTAGGATGGTGGTAGCACAGTTAGGATGATGGTAGCACAGTTAGGACGGTGGTAGCACAGTTAGGATGGTGGTAGCACAGTTAGGTTGGTGGTAGCACAGTTAGGACGGTGGTAGCACAGTTAGGATGGTGGTAGCACAGTTAGGATGGTGGTAGCACAGTTAGGATGGTGGAAGCACAGTTAGGATGGTGGTAGCACAGTTAGGTTGGTGGTAGCACAGTTAGGATGGTGGTAGCACAGTTAGGATGGTGGTAGCACAGTTAGGATGGTGGTAGCACAGTTAGGATGGTGGTAGCACAGTTAGGATGGTGGTAGCGCAGTTAGAATGATGGTAGCACAGTTAGGATGGTGGTGGCACAGTTAGGATGGTGGTAGCACAGTTATGATGGTGGTAGCACAGTTGGAATGGTGGAAGCACAGTTAGGATGGTGGTAGCACAGTTAGGATGGTGGTAGCACAGTTAGGATGGTGGTAGCACAGTTAGGTTGGTGGTAGCACAGTTAGGATGGTGGTAGCACAGTTGGGATAGTGGCAGCACAGTTGAGATGGTGGTAGCACAGTTAGGATGGTGGTAGCACAGTTAGGATGATGGTAGCACAGTTAGGACGGTGGTAGCACAGTTAGGATGGTGGTAGCACAGTTAGGTTGGTGGTAGCACAGTTAGGACGGTGGTAGCACAGTTAGGACGGTGGTAGCACAGTTAGGATTGTTGTAGCACAGTTAGGATGGTGGTAGCACAATTAGGTTGGTGGTAGCACAGTTAGGATGGTGGTAGCACAGTTAGGATGGTGGTAGCACAGTTAGGATGGTGGTAGCACAGTTAGGATGGTGGTAGCACAGTTAGGATGGTGGTAGCGCAGTTAGAATGATGGTAGCACAGTTAGGATGGTGGTAGAGCACAGTTAGGATGGTGGTAGCACAGTTATGATGGTGGTAGCACAGTTGGAATGGTGGAAGCACAGTTAGGATGGTGGTAGCACAGTTAGGATGGTGGTAGCACAGTTAGGATGGTGGTAGCACAGTTAGGTTGGTGGTAGCACAGTTAGGTTGGTGGTAGCACAGTTAGGATGGTGGTAGCACAGTTGGGATAGTGGCAGCACAGTTGAGATGGTGGTAGCACAGTTAGGATGGTGGTAGCACAGTTAGGATGATGGTAGCACAGTTAGGACGGTGGTAGCACAGTTAGGATGGTGGTAGCACAGTTAGGTTGGTGGTAGAACAGTTAGGACGGTGGTAGCACAGTTAGGATGGTGGTAGCACAGTTAGGATTGTTGTAGCACAGTTAGGATGGTGGTAGCACAGTTAGGATGGTGGTAGCACAGTTAGGATGGTGGTAGCACAGTTAGGATGGTGGTAGCACAGTTAGGATGATGGTAGCACAGTTAGGATGGTGGTAGCACAGTTAGGATGGTGGTAGCACAGTTAGGATGGTGGTAGCACAGTTAGGATGGTGGTAGCACAGTTAGGATGATGGTAGCACAGTTAGGATGGTGGTAGCACAGTTAGGATGGTGGTAGCACAGTTAGGATGGTGGTAGCACAGTTAGGATGGTGGTAGCACAGTTAGGATGGTGGTAGCACAGTTAGGTTGGTGGTAGCACAGTTAGGATGGTGGTAGCACAGTTAGGATGGTGGTAGCACAGTAAAGGACGGTGGTAGCACAGTTAGGATGGTGGTAGCACAGTTAAGATGGTGGTAGCACAGTTAGGTTGGTGGTAGCACAGTTAGGATGGTGGTAGCACAGTTAGGATGGTGGTAGCACAGTTAGTTTGGTGGTAGCACAGTTAGGATGGTGGTAGCACAGTTAGGATGGTGGTAGCACAGTTAGGATTGTTGTAGCACAGTTAGGATGGTGGTAACACAGTTAGGATGGTGGTAGCACAGTTAGGATGGTGGTAGCACAGTTAGGATGATGGTAGCACAGTTAGGATGGTGGTAGCACAGTTAGGTTGGTGGTAGCACAGTTAGGATGGTGGTAGCACAGTTAGGATGGTGGTAGCACAGTTAGGATGGTGGTAGCACAGTTAGGATGGTGGTAGCACAGTTAGGATGGTGGTAGCGCAGTTAGGATGGTGGTAGCACAGTTAGGATGGTGGTAGCACAGTTATGATGGTGGTAGCACAGTTGGAATGGTGGAAGCACAGTTAGGATGGTGGTAGCACAGTTAGGATGGTGGTAGCACAGTTAGGATGGTGGTAGCACAGTTAGGTTGGTGGTAGCACAGTTAGGATGGTGGTAGCACAGTTGGGATAGTGGCAGCACAGTTGAGATGGTGGTAGCACAGTTAGGATGGTGGTAGCACAGTTAGGATGGTGGTAGCGCAGTCAGGATGATGGTAGCACAGTTAGGATGGTGGTAGCACAGTTAGGTTGGTGGTAGCACAGTTAGGATGGTGGTAGCACAGTTGGGATAGTGGTAGCACAGTTGGGATGGTGGTAGCACAATTAAGATGGTGGTAGCACAGTTAGGATGGTGGTAGCACAGTTAGGATGGTGGTAGCACAGTTAGGATGGTGGTAGCACAGTTAGGATGATGGTAGCACAGTTAGGATGGTGGTAGCACAGTTAGGATGGTGGTAGCACAGTTAGGTTGGTAGTAGCACAGTTAGGATGGTGGTAGCACAGTTAGGATGGTGGTAGCACAGTTAGGATTGTTGTCGCACAGTTAGGATGGTGGTAGCACAGTTAGGATGGTGGTAGCACAGTTAGTATGGTGGTAGCACAGTTAGGATGGTGGTAGCGCAGTTAGGATGATGGTAGCACAGTTAGGATGGTGGTAGCACAGTTAGGATGGTGGTAGCACAGTTAGGATGGTGGTAGCACAGTTAGGATGGTGGTAGCACAGTTAGGATTGTGGTAGCACAGTTAGGATTGTGGTAGCACAGCTAGGATGGTGGTAGCACAGTTAGGATGGTATGGTGGTAGAAGTAGTGGTGGCGGTCAATGTATTTAGGTACAGGTACCTAAGAACACAAGAAAGAAGAAAGACTGCAGCAGGCCTACTGGCCCATGCTAGGCGGATCCAAGTTACCTACTGGCCCAATCCAGTCAGGTCCAACTCACACCCACCCACGCCCAGCCATGAATTTGTTTAATCTATTTTTAAAGCTACACAAGGTTTTAGCTTCAATGACGATACTCGGGAGTTTGTTCCACTCATCCACAAATCTATTGCCAAACCAGTGCTTTCCTATATTCTTTCTAAATCTAAATTTTTCCAACTTGAGACCACTGCTGCGAGTCCTGTCTTGGTTAGATACTTTTAGCACGTTATTTACATTCCCTTTATTTATTCCTGTTTTCCATTTACACACCTCAATCATATATCCCCTAATTCTACGCCTTTCTAGAGAGTGCAGATTCAGGGCCCTCAGTCTGTTCTCGTAGGATTGACAGGGCCCTCAGTCTATACTTGTAGGATAATGTGTAAATTACCAAGGATAATGCCAAAAGAGTCAGACAGAGAGACTTATTTCCACTGGGGTGGTGGTGGTGGTGATAAGGTGATGGTGGTCGTAGTGGTGTTGGCGGAGGTCATCAAGACCCCCCTGGTCCTCTGGAGCCAGTCCATGATGCCAGAAGCCACCAGCAACAGCAGCCTGTGTGACTAGTACCCCAGGTCTCCAGTACACTCTACCTCCTGGACTGACAGCTTCACCACGTCCTTCTAAACAGCTCTGAACCTCCACCTTCCCCAACACTCCATCTCCTGGACTGACAGTTTCACGTCCCTCTAAACAGCTCTGAATCTCCACCTTACCCAACACTCCACCTCCTGGAGTGACAGTTTCACGTCCCTCTAAACAGCTCTCAGCCTCCACCTTCCCCAACACTCCACCTCCTGGACTGACAGTTTCACGTCCCTCTAAACAGCTCTCAGCCTCCACCTTCCCCTACACTCCACCTCCTGGACTGACAGTTTCACGTCCCTCTAAACAGCTCTCAGCCTCCACCTTCCCCAACACTCCACCTCCTGGACTGACAGTTTCACGTCCCTCTAAACAGCTCTCAACCTCCACCTTCCCCAACAATCTACCTCCTGGACTGACAGCTTCACGTCCCTCTAAACAGCTCTGAACCTCCACCTTCCCCAACACTCCACCTCCTGGACTGACAGTTTCACGTCCCTCTAAACAGCTCTGAACCTCCACCTTCCCCAACACTCCACCTCCTGGACTGAGTTTCACGTCCCTCTAAACAGCTCTCAGCCTCCACCTTCCCCAACACTCCCTAACAAACATGGATCCTTCCAAGAATCATCTGGTAACAGACGTGGACATGAAGGCAGCTAAGCCCCACGAGACTGTAAGTTATGAGAAATATTTCTGTCTGTCAGCCATATGTCAATAGTAATAATGTTGACAGAGTTACCGTCAGTTAGTTGCACATCTGTCCTTTTACCTAACATGTGTCAATAGTCCACCTGTTTGCCTCTTGATAAGGAACACCTGTGTGTCACCTAGGTGTAAGTTTATTTAGACACAGGTATACATAAATACAGTTACACAATTATTATGTAGAATGAGACACATGTGAAACATTTTAGAATCTTTTTGGGGGAAACGTCTCACTACACAGTGGCTTCATCAGTCGTATAGAAAGAAGAGCGGTGTTTATGGTAATCAGTCCCTGGAATCGATGTGTTCAATCTATCTGTCTTGAATAAAGTGCATCATATGCTAGATGCTAAGCCTTTTATCACAAATTATCATACATAGTAACATAGGTGTAAATTACCCACTAGAAAGGTCAGATAATGTAATTTACTTCCATTGGGTCCTTGTTCTGTTTATATCTTTATTTCTACCAGTACATGATACAACTTATACAGACCAGAGCTGACATCAGTGACATACTACTATATAGAAAGTCCTTTGCTATGCAGAGTTTTCCCGCAAATTAGGTCAATTTTGTCCCTAGGATGCGACCCACACCAGTCGACTAACACCCAGGTACCCATTTAACTGCTAGGTGAACTTGGACAGCAGGTGTCTTATGGAAACACGTCCTAATGTTTCTACCCGCACCGGGGAACGATCCTCAGACCTCATTGTGTGAGCTGAGTGTGATAGTGATCTTAGATTCAACTCACTGGTCTCCTCAATTAAGATCACTATGGAAAGTGAGATAAATGGAATAATTCCATTTCTGGATACACATAGGTTTGTTTAATGCAAGCCTACTAATATATGTTCAATATATATGTAAGATTAGGGACAAGATAGGCCCTCTCAAAAATTACTCGGGTCAGCTCACTGACAGTGACAAGGTAATGTGTAGAGTTTTCAACACTTATTTCCTCTCATTTTTTACGTAAGAAGATACTAGTGAAATTCCAGAAATAATAAATTATGTAGAAGAGAATGGAAATAAGTTATGCATGATCCAAGTCACTAGTGACATGGTCCTCAAATAGATAAATTAAAAGCCAACAAATCTCTGGGTCCTGATGAAATGTTTTCAAGGGTTTTAAAGAAATGTAAAGAGGAGTTTAGCAAACCTTTGGTTAGTCTATTCAACATAACACTACAAACTGGCAGGGTGCTTGATAAGTGGAAAATGGCAGGAGACAGGTCCTTAGCTTCAAACTACAGACCAATAAGCCTAACCTCCATAGTGGGAAAATTGATGGAATGGCCGAGGCTATGTGTAGCTGCCTTGAAAGACATATATTGATTAATGAATCTCAGCAAGGTGTTACAAAAGGGCATTCTTGCCTTACGAATTTACTAACTTTTTTTACTAAGGTATTTGAAGAGGTAGATCATGGTAATGAATATGATATTGTATATATGGACTTCAGTAAGGTTTTTGCTAGTTCCACATTGGCAAAGCTTATTGAGGAAATTTAAGGCTCACGGAACAGATTTTTTTTCCAGGACAGAGGTGTGGTTGACAGGTAGGCAACAGAGAGTTTGCATAAATGGGATGACATCAGGGTGAGGACGCATCACAAGTGGTGTTCCACAGGGGTCAGTGTTGGGCCCCTTGTTGTTCTACAAGGGTCAGTGTTGGGCCCCTTGTTGTTCCACAGGGGTCAGTGTTGGACCCCTTGTTGTTCTACAAGGGTCAGTGTTGGGCCCCTTGTTGTTCCACAGGGGTCAGGGTTGGGCCCCTTGTTGTTCACAATTTACATAAACGGCAAAGACGAAGGAAAAATAGTGATGTAAGCAAGTTTGCCGATGACACCGAAAGAGGCCGTCGAATTAACTCTGACGAGGACACAAGAGCACTGTAGGAAGATCTGAAGAGACTGATGCAGTGGTCGGAGAAGTGGCAGATGCAGTTTATTATAGACAAATACAAAGTTCTTAGCCTGGAAATGTAAATAACCATGACACATAAACTAAATAATGTAGATCTTAATATTCATGATTACAAAAAAAAGATTTAGGAGTCCTGATCACTAGTAATCTAAAATTAATAGCCAGGACAACAGTTCATAAGTGTTCACAATGAAGTGACCAGAATTTTTGGCTTCATATCAAGAAGTATAACTAACAGGAGTCCTCGGGTTGTTCTTCAACTCTATGCATCCTTGGTTAGGCCTCATTTAGATTATGCTGCTCAGTTCTGGTCACCGTATTGGAGAATGGATATGAATGCACTGGAAAACTTACAAAGAAGAAAGAGAAAAAGTTGATCCCATGTATCAGAAATGTTTCCTACGAGGATATACTGAGGGTCCTGAATCTGCACTCTCTAGAAAGGCGTAGAATTAAGGGGAGGATATGATTGAGGTGTATAATCACGAAATTTCGGTAAAAAGGAGCCCAAAAAGTTATTTTGTTCCCCTCTACATCATTTGTGAGACCTCCCCTTGGATTTTTTTTAAATTTTGGTCTCCTGAAAAACGGGTTTGACTAAAAAATCAATGGAAAACATACGGGAAAAGAATGACAAAAAATGATTCACTGTTTAACAAATTCCCCGGGGTAAGAAAATAGATACTTGAACCCCTTCACTCTTTGAGAGACATAGAATTAGAGGGAACAGTGAAATTTTAAGGGTGGATGCCGGACATAAAGACGATTTTATAAAAAAATGAGAATATCGAACCAAAAATTTAAGGGAAATTTAAAAGTTTAATTTGGGTTTAGAAAAAAACTTTAGGGGGGTACTGGTTTTCAGAGTTGTTGATGGTGAAGTCGAGGCCAAAAAATCGGGCGCTTAACAAGAAAAAATTCGGCATGTGGGTGAAACAGTTGAGAATCTTTATTGTCAAAATTTTCCCCACCCCATTTGGCTTAATCTTCCTACCCCAATGGAGAATGGTGAAAAAACGGGAAGGAGCTTGAAGTAAAATCGCCCAAAAAGCCTGGAGCCCGTGTAATCAGTCCATCATTTCTTAAAGGGCCCCCTAGGGGCCCATTAAAAGGGCCCCATCTGTTTTCCCCTTAAAGGGAAAAAGAGGAAAAAAATATAGGGAATGAAAATAACGTACAAAAGTATCTGACCAAAAACAGAACTCGCGAATAAATCTAAAGTTGGAAAAAATTTTGGGTTTTAGAAAGGTTTAAAAAAAAAGCACCAGTTTGGTAATAGTTGTCCCTAGTGTGGGGCCCTTGAGGTGAGTGTGTTTTTTACGCCCCACCCGGTTTTTCCCACTCTCACCTATTTTTACATAAACAAAAGGGGTTTCAAAAGTGATAAAGTGTTACACTTGGTTTCTTGGAAACATTTGTAATACATGAACGCGTGTTTTAATTGAGATTGTTTAGGTACTGGTTATCTTTCTATAGCTGCACATTTAGGGTTTGCATAAAATGTTTAACATAGAAACGTGTAAAGTTCCCCAGGATGGACCAACCCCCAAGTCGCCAGATTTTTTTTCATTGTATTTGATCATTCCCTAGTTTTTTTTTTTTTTTTTTTTTTTTTTTAGTAATATGTTTACAATCTATGGTTGGGGTAAGGGGTTTCCCCCTTCCCGGGCGTTTTGTGTTTTTCTGCCCTATATTATTTTTTTCAGTGGGTTTACATTAGGGGGCCCAGTACCCCGGAACTAATTTCAAGTGGAAGTTATCTTTGGGAAAATTTTAAACCCCTCATGTTTAATGTGATGTATGTCAAAAATTCAAATTTTTATGCTCAATATTCCCTAATTTCTCTCTCTTCTCTCCCCTCTCTCTCTCTCTCTTTTCTTCCTTTTCTCTCTCTCTTCTCTCTCTCTTTTATCTTTGAAATTTTTGTGAAAAGGGTTTGAAAGACCTCCTGTACCTTTCCATTTTACCCATTAATGTACCATATTATTTCCACAAATTTCAAGGGGGTTTTGGGATTTGGTTTTTGGGGGGGGTGTGTGCCCGTTTTTGAGTGGTGGGGGTTTTCTGGGTTGAGTTGGTTGGAGGTGTTCATTGAACTTGAGCCTTGTGTTTTGGGTGATCTATTTTGGACTTCTGACTTTGTAGTAAATTATTTGCCCCTCAATAAGCTATAAGGGAAAGATAAGCGAGGAATTCTTGTGTTGTAAAGTTTTTAAAAAAGATTTTCATCACTGGAAAAAAATGGCAATGTTTTAGAGGAAAACCAAAATTTCTGCAGGTGAGGGAAAAATGTTGATAGTTCCCAGACCTTTAAAAGTAAACAAAAGAAAAAAAGGGAAAAAGGGGTTTAGACCCGTCGCCGTAGTCGACTCACTTGCTCGTACACAATTTTGTTACAAAAAGCCCGGGTTTGAAGGGGGGCTGCAAAAAAGTCTTTTTTCAAAGGAAGAGGTTTTTAACTAAAACTTCCCTGACAACACCCCCCCCCCGCTTAAGTTCCCTTTGGTAAGGGAAGCTGTAAAAAGCATCAAACCCCAAAGGGAAACCCAATTTTTAAAAAAAAACACACACAACTTTGTGTTTGTAGAACAAAAATTAAAAGAGTTTGATAAAATGATTACTTAGTAAAAACCCTTAGGGGTTTTATTAAGCTCCCTCCGCCCTTTCCATCAGACCTCAAAAATTTAAAAAAAGGGGTTTCCAGTATCATAATTTTTGGATCCCCTCTTGCTTGGACCCTTTCCCATCTGACTCTAAAGGAGCATATCACAAGCCTTAAAAAGATTTAAAAGGAAAATCCCAAATTATTGCCATTTGGGTGGGCCCTGTGCCCTCCCGGAATATTGGGTGCGGGGTTTTCGTTTCCAAAAACATCGAAGTGTCCCTACCCCCTAAACGTGGGTTTGTTCCCAAATGCCGCACTAGGGCCCCATTTTTGCAGGGACTGGGGTTTTACTACATTTTTTGGGGGTGGTTTTTTTTGGTGGGAAACTTTTCCACTAGAGAATGCCCCTTTAGTTTTGGGACGGGAAAAAATTT